CTGAGATTCAACGTGCAATGGCTCATCGTGAAGTGCCGCAGCCAAGCAGTGCGACAGTTTCCTCACCGCTGGATGAGTTTCGTTTATCGGCGAAGAAGGTGGAGTTGCCGGCATTTACCGGTGACGATCCGGTTGCATGGATCACTCGGGCAGAGACATACTTTGAGGTACAACGAATATCGCAGGAGGTTCGTATTCAGTTGACCAAATTGAGTATGGAAGACCCTACTATCCATTGGTTTAACCTATGGCATGATTCAACAGAGGAATTGTCATGGGAGAACCTCCGTGAGGCGATGATGGTTCGATTTGGAGGTGGGCGTTTGGAGAATCCGTTTGAGGAATTAAAGGACCTAAAACAATCGGGATCAGTAGAGGAATATATTACTGAATTCGAACTATTCTTCACAGTGTGGTCGTTTGCCAGAACAACAGTTTCTAGGTTATTTCATTGGTGGTTTACGTCATGATATTCGTTCTCGTGTGCGTACCTTCAAGCCTCGCAACCGTTACCTAGCAATGCAATTGGCTCGTGATGTTGAAAGAGAATTTGCAGTGGCTTCTGGACAGGGTTCTGAAGCACGTTACAAACCGGGTCATGGTTCTTGGACAAAATCTCAAAAGCCTACTTGGGCTTTTCGCGAAGGGGAAGGGAACGGATCTGCAACTCAGACCCAACCTAATAATTCTTTGGGCAAAACGCGGACTGGTTCGGATTCTGGATCTCAAACCGTCTCAACACGTCCTACCAATTCTACAGCATCTTCTCGCCCAAATTTAGGTGACAATTCACGCCGTCAATCTCGTGGTGTTCGCCATCTACCAAGTGCAGAGGTTAATGAGCGTCGTGCGAAAGGACTTTGTTTTTGTTGCAACGAACGATGGGATCCTCTCCATCAATGTGCAACAAGACAGTTACGATTGATTATCTTGGGGGATGACGAAATTGTTAACGATGCAGGAGAGATTGTGGTGTTGGAGGCTGCGACAGAAGAAGAGCTCACACCAGAGGAATTAGAATGTAAAACCATGGGGCTGTTTGGTGTATCCACTAATCCAAATCAGGTCCGGACGATGAAATTGGAGGGATGTTTACAAGGTGCATTAATTCTGGTACTTATTGACAGTGGAGCCACACATAATTTCATATCACCTAAGGTGGTTGAAGCCCTGGGATTGTCTATGGTGCCTTCTAATCCTTTGGGTGTTAAGTTAGGAGATGGTCATCGTGTCCTAACTAGGGGTAGATGCAATGGAATTCAGATGAAAGTGGGATCAGTGCAGATTTGCTTTGATGCTTATGTGTTGGAGTTAGGAGGTGTGGATTTGATTTTAGGAGTTGTGTGGCTAGAAACGTTGGGGAAGGTGACCATGGATTGGAAAGAAATGTCTATGGAGTTCAACCATAAAGGCAGGATGGTGAAACTACTTGGTCAGGCTGTAGATGATAAGTTGGCTACTTTCCAAAGCATTATCACTCCTTCTCGAATGATAGCAGGCTGTGAATGGCCTACCTTGATGGAGGTGTTAGGGTCACCGGTGTCGTGTGTCTCTGATCAACAGACTAAGGAGTTGGAAGGATTGCTGGAGCATTTTGTTATTGTGTTTAAAGAAATCCAAGGTCTTCCTCCGTCAAGAAACACTAGTCATTCAATTGACCTTTTCCAGGGTGCGGGTCCGGTAAGTGTGCGACCTTACAGATATCCTCATTTACACAAGGATGAAATTGAAAAACAGATTTAGAGCCTATTGCAACAAGGCGTGGTTAGAAACAGCACCAGCGCGTTCTCTAGTCCCGTCATTTTGGTCAAGAAGAAGGATCAATCTTGGCGTATGTGTGTAGATTACCGTGCACTCAACAAGGTAACAATTCAGGACAAGTATCCTATTCCGGTTGTAGATGAATTGTTAAATGAGTTACATGGCTGTAGTTATTTCTCTAAGCTTGATCTTAAATCCGGTTATCATCAAATTCGTATGAAGGAAGAGGATATTCATAAAACTGCTTTTCGGACTCATGAGGGTCACTATGAGTTTTTGGTAATGCCGTTTGGCCTCACCAATGCTCCTGCAACTTTTCAATCGGTGATGAATGCAATTTTCAAGCCCTTTCTAAGGAAGTTTTAAGGAAGTTTGTCCTGGTTTTTTTTGATGATATCCTAGTATACAGTAGTAGTTGGGCTGAACATTTACAGCACTTGGAGGTGGTTCTTAATATTTTGAAGCAGCATCAGTTTGTGGCAAATCGGAAGAAATGCACTTTCGGTCAGCACCAAGTAGAATATTTGGGCCATGTCATTTCCAAAGGGGTTGCTGTTGATCCTGCCAAGGTCAGCAGTGTGTTACAATGGCCTATTCCTAAGAATGTTAAAGGAGTGCGAGGTTTTTTGGGGTTGACGGGTTATTACCGAAAGTTTATAGCGAATTATGGAAAAATTGCTAAACCCTTAACAGAATTGACAAAGAAGGATGATTTTAGCTGGAATCCGGCAGCTGCCTAAGCTTTTGAGAAATTGAAAGTAGTTGTTACAACTGCCCCAGTTTTAGCCCTGCCTAATTTCAAGTTCCCCTTTGAAATTGAATGTGATGCCTCGGGAAAAGGAGTTGGTGCAGTATTGTTACAATCGAAGCATCCCATTGCATATTTTAGCAAGGCTTTTGAATCATCTAGGTTATCCAAATCTGCCTATGATAAGGAGTTGATGACTTTAGTGTTAGCTATTCAACATTGGCGACATTATTTGTTAGGCAGGAGGTTTGTGGTTTATTCTGATCAAAAGAGCCTAAAACACTTGTTGCAACAACGTATTACTACAGCAAATCAACAAGAATGGATGGCTAAGTTATTGGGTTTTGACTTTGAGGTGGTGTACAAGGTGGGAGTGGAAAATAAAGTGGCTGATGCTTTATCTAGACAGCACGAGAATGCTGAAATGCAAGCGATTAAATCCTACCTATTTGGCAGCAGAGCAGCCAACTACAACAAGAAGTATCAAATGATCCTTTGCTTAAAAATATTATGGAAGCTATTCAAAAGGATCCTAATGCTAAACCTGGTTTTGCTTTAAAAGGTGGCATCTTATTCTACAAAAATAGGTTAGTTATACCGGCTAACTCGCCACTTATTGAGGAATTACTCAAAGATTTTCATTCTTCTCCAAGTGGGGGTCACTCCGGCTACCTACGCACTTATAGGAGAATGGCAGGAACTTTATATTGGCAAGGGATGATGCGGATGGTGCAAGATTTTGTGAAAGCTTGTGATACTTGTCAACGACAAAAATATGCGGCAACGACTCCTAATGGATTACTACAACCTCTTCCCATTCCGGTTATGGTGTGGAGTGAGATATCCATGGATTTCATCACTTGTTTGCCAAAAAGTAATGGATTTGAAGCTATATTGGTTGTGGTGGACCGTCTCTCCAAATACAGCCATTTCATTCCTCTTAAACATCCATTTACTGCTCGCTCAATAGCTGCTGTTTTTGTGAAGGAAGTGGTTAGATTACATGGCATTCCGGAGTCTATTCTTAGTGATCGTGACCCCTTGTTTGTGAGTATTTTTTGGAAAGAGTTGTTCAAATTAGTAGGTACGGTGCTTAAAATGTCCTTGGCATACCATCCCCAAACGGATGGCCAAACAGAAGTAATTAATCGTTGTTTAGAGGCCTACCTACGTTGTTTTATTGCAGATCAACCTAAGACATGGGCACATTGGATTCCATGGGCAGAACTGTGGTACAATACCACATTTCACGTGTCTACCGGGTTCACCCCTTTCGAGGTGGTATATGGTAGAAAGCCTCCAGTGTTGGTGCATTTTTTGGAGGGTGAAACCAGAGTGGAAGCTGTAGCACAGGAGTTAAGGGACAGAGATGAGCCGTTGCGTCAATTGAAAACTAATTTACTCAAAGCCCAGGAGGACATGAAATTCCTAGCTGACAAGAAACGCAATGCAGTGCAATTTGAGGTGGGTGATTGGGTTTTCCTCAAATTACGTCCTCATCGACAACAATCGGTTATGCAAAGAATCCATCAAAAACTGGCCCCTAGATTTTTCGGTCCGTATCAAATCCTAAAGAAGATAGGACAGGTTGCTTATAAGTTGAAGTTACCACCAACATCTAAAATACATCCTATCTTTCATGTGTCGCAATTGAAGAAAGCGGTGGGCAACTATACTGCTACAATTCAGCTACCTATCAATTTAGAGTCAGAAAAAGGGGACATTACTCCGGCTAAGGTTGTGTCATGGAGGGACAAATTTGATGGTGGACAACATAAGAGAGAATGGTTGATTCAATGGGAAGGGATGGATGTTGGAGATGCTACCTGGGGAGAGGAACTGTTGCTGAAGAGTCAATTCCCTGATCTGCGCCTTGAGGACAAGGCTAATGTTGTAGGTGGGGGTGATGATAGGAATGGATCGGATCCCACAAATGATGATGGGAATGTGTTAGTTAATAGAGATATTATTGGACCTAAACAATGGAGGGTATATGTGAGAAAGAACAGGAAACTCCACAAATAAATAGGAGTTAGTTTAGGTATTATTCTCCATATAAATAGGAGTTAGTTTAGGGATTATTCTCCATATAAAAAGGAGTGTATGGGGCAGTAGTTAGGCATTGATTGATTTTCTGTTTTTGATATTAGGATTTGGGCAGTGAGAGAATTGTTTCTCTGACTGAGGAGCAGTAGCTCTGGAATTTATTTTACTTTCACATTCATTAATAAAATACTTTTCTTTATCATATTATATCATACCTCTGTTCTATCAGGGTGGAACCAAAACTCGCCACATTGGCAGGGGGTGACATATATTTAACCCTTATAATTATAACAATTGTTATTATGCCCTATTTCTTATGTTTTCCCTATTATTTTTTGATTCTGTTTGTGATGCTGATTACCTCTTCTAAATATAGCTACTTAATGATATTCATTTATCCTGCTGATAAAAGATAGCTTGCACACTTACTTTTCTAAACTTGCAGATCCAGGTCATTTTTGAACCATTTTTGTGGAAAAGGAGTGACTCCTCTACTGTGCGTGATGAAGATTCCGAAGAAAGGTTTGATAAACCTCAATAATGACACCTAGTTCTACAAAACCTTGCAATCTGTATAGTTTACTAAGCAAAAGTTGTTGGCTGTTGTCAGCAAAAGTGACATCTTTTGCATTCTTTCTGTTCTGTTTTCAGTGTTAGCAGATTCTTCGAACGTCATTTTGGGAAAGAGGTATATGTCATATTACCTTGAAGTCATTCATTTGCCACTTTTCTGCTTATGGCTAATATATTCTATGCTTACAGTGCTGCATACGTTTTCCAGCATTTTATTTATTGAATGAGAGAAAAAAGAGACATTATTGTGAAACCGTGTATGGCAACAACTTAGAGGAGTCTATTTTATATAGATAGGAGGGAATACAAACAAATTGAATATAGGAGATATTATTCCTATCTGCATGATATGATACAATATAATATATCTATACAATAAATAAAATATCATAATATATTTTCAGCACAACCCCTCGAGCTGGAGCATATAAATCATATGCATCTAGCTTGTCGCAAAGATAATTGAATCAAGGACCTCTTAGTATATGGTGAAGGCATTTTCTAGTTGGTCACTGAAGTTGACAAAGCTCGTAGTGATGTCTCCTGATGCGATCTTCTCCGTGATGAAATGACAATCTATTTCAGTATGTTTGACCGTCTCATGAAAAATCAGATTAGAGGCAATATGCAATGTTGTTTTATTATCACATATTGGCATCATTTGCATGGTCTCACCAAAATGAAACTCTGAGTAACAATTTTAACCAAATAAACAATCCGGTGGATACAAATTGGCCGAATGGCAAGATCAAATTGTTGCACAACAATGCTGAATCTATTGAGCGAGGAATCAAACTCGAGCGGACTGTTTAAGGCCATAGAGAGGCTTGTGAAACCAAAACACCATTGTAGCGGACTTGTTTTGAGTAACAAATCCAAGAGTTTGGTCCATATAAGTTTTCTCTTCTAGATCATTGTGCAAGAAGGACTTCTTAATATCAAGCGAACAAAGAGGCCAGTCGGGGATGGTTGCGATAGAGAGAGATAAAAAGAGACCATTTTGGTCAAAGGTGAGAAAGTATCATCATTGTTAAGAAATGTGGTTGGGCCTAGCTCACCCCTACAAAACCGGTTGGTAGAGTGAGGATTGCCCCCACTTATAAACACATGTTCATGCCATATATTGTCCGATGTGGGACTCTTAGCACACCCCCTCACGCTCAGGACTGGACAACTGAAGCGTGAAAATAAATGGTGGGTGGCCCGATAGCGGAAACCATAGAAGGTGGCCCGATAGCGGAAACCATAAAAGGTGGCCCACCGGATCTTAAACGAGGCTCTGATACCATGTTAAGAAATGTGATTGGACCTAACTCAACCCTACAAAACCGGTTGGTAGAGTGAGGATTGCACCCACTTATAAACACATGTTCATGCCATATATTGTCCGATGTGGGACTCTTAACAATCATTAATCAAACAAAGTATTTAAGTGTAACTCTTGGCTATCAAACAAGCCTTAAAACAACCAATCTTACTATCGGCACCAACCTTGACTATATAAATCTAGCCACAACGATCAAAGTGTTCCCAGGCAGATAGGAGAACATGTTTCTAAGTACCATTGCTTTATCAATCATTGTTTATCTTAACTCATGGTGAGGTAAAGCTTCACATGTAGAGCTATGAACCAAAAAAAAAAATACAAGGTAGAATGACAAGCATAATGCGAAGTAGAAATACAAAGATAACTCAAAGCATTTTAGTGAGATCAGTTACAGGTAGAACGAATACCTTTACAAAGAGCAATGATAATGTCAGGTTTGAGTGGCAGGAGCGGATCAAATAAATGACGTAGCGGGGGAAGGGACTTGCATGCATCAAAGTAGGTGGCTAGCATAGTGGTAAGTCCAAAGTGTCTGGGAAGGTCGGGTGTCCACTGGTGGGCTTTCTCTTGAAACGGACTCAAGAGGGACAATAATAGGAGGTTAGGGATGATCGTAGAAAAGGGCTCACGAGACAAATGTATGGTAGAGACTAAAAAAAGGTAACATTGGCTGATATAAGGCAACATTTTCCAGGCCATATCTCATCCGACATGGGATTCTTTAACACATTCCCTCACACCTAAAACTATTGGGCTTGGTGTGTGGATATAAATAGCGGGTGACCTAATACCAGAGATCTGATAGCAGGGTTGAGCCTAAATCAATCTAACAAAATCGACTTAAATCAATCTAACAAAATCGACTTGTAAGTTGTAGATTGCCTCCACTTATAAACATGTTTTCATGCCATATTTATGTGATGTGGGAATCTTTAACAAAAAATTATTCAGGTCTTATCTCATTTGATGTGGCACTCAACATTAAAGGGTAGGGGAAAATCAACGGAAGCCTTTTTGAAATTGATGATAACCAAGAAAGATGTACTTCAATGATCAAGCAGCAAGCATGTCAAGGCCCGGAGAGAGATTGTGGACAAATTATGTAGATTCAAATATGAGGTGGAAGTGAATGAATAAGGATACGGGAAAAAAGGACTGAAGTGATGTATTCTATTATCTAGGAGAGACGAGGGCGCATGCGACTTATAATATAACAGATTTCCAAAACACCATCCCCTCCAAATAAAAATGGAGCATTACCGTGAATAAGATTCTGAGTGCTTTCAAATTCTTTGGTATGGCAACCCTGTTTTGTTGAGGTGTATGAGCACAATGCCATGAGAAGCCATAAATGTTTAAAATTTTTAGATCAAATATTCACTAGCATTATCACTACATAGAGTGTGTATGGAAACACCAAACTGAGTTTTAATTTCCCAATAAATGTGCTCAAAGATGGAGAATAATCCATACCTGTTTTTTTAAATACAAAAATAACCACATACGATGTGAGAAGTCATTTATAAAAGTAACAAATTGTTAAAAACGAGTAAATCAGTATGAGAAGGACCCTAAACATTGGATTAATATAATAAACTATAGCAGAAAGGGACGAAGCTTGTTTATTGGAGAGGCTCGACACCAACTTCTGAAATTTATCTCGATTGCGCAATTGGGTCTCTGTATGGTAAGAGGGAAATCTGTGGTAGGACAAACGCAGGATATGGTGGACAGTTGGTAAAGGTCTTTAGACCCATATCTGACACCAATAGTCCTTCCCAAACTCTGGTCTGCAAAATAACAGTGGCTTTAGTAAAGGTATTCGAACAATCATTAGAACTAGTTAGCTGACTTACTAAAAGTAAATTAAAGGGACATCTAGAGAAATAAAGGACATAACTGACTGTCATGAAAGGAAGTGGATGGGAAAATATATGGTCAGATTTAGGGTTCTCTATTAGCTCTAGATACTATGTTGAATAAGAGAAAATATATGCATAATATTGTGAAATTATATTTCAGATACACAGTAAGGAGATATTATTCCATTTACCAAATATGATATTATATGCCTAACAGTATTATTTTGTCTAGTATTTGTTTCATTCTTCTAACAAATTATTTGTAGGTTGTGGACTATCTCATTGATCCTTTTGTTGGAGGTACAAGTGCAGCAGATCCTGAATCTCTTTCTGTGAGTTGCTTCTCAATGTTTTAAATATGTGTACGATATTTCATATTGAAATATATATTATGTAACAATTTTCAATGAGTTTTTGTCGTATCAATATTGGATAACCATATAAAATGTTAATTTCCTTGTTTCATATATTTCAAACAGATGCGCCATTCTTTCCCAGAGCTATGGAATTTGGAGAAAAGGTATTGCTTGCAACTTTCATATAGTACTTTAAATTAAATTAGCTAACGTTATAAAAAAGTTTTTTAGTCTTGGTTTGTTTAGTTGATATATAATAAATTATGGTCATGGATCTCCCTGTAGTTTTTTCCTTTTAGTTGATCTATTTATATGTTATATCTTATTGAATAAATCAAGAGTTTACTTTTGATATATTTAAAAAGTGCCGGTGCTAAAAGTTTTTGTTGGAATTTCCGCCTTCATTTCAAATTACGCACTTATTCCTCTTCTCATTTGCCCCTACACTGATCCCCACCTCTCCTCTTATATAGAAAATGAACATATCTCTCCCTCCACTATCTAATTGCCACGTGTACTTTCTGTTATTCCCTCTGTCCCTTCTCAAACGAATTTATTCCCCTCCCCCTCTCGCTCTCACTCAACCGAATAGGTTCATCAATAAGTTACGGGCCACTAAGAGTCTCCCTAGAAATTTAAGATATCATTTCTTTTTTTAGTTTCTTGCCTACTATATGGTGGATCCTCTATGTTTCAGGTTTGGCTCCATTATAGCAGGGGCTTTACAATCCAGCTTATTCGGCAAAAGGAACAAAACTGTAGAAACTAAAGATGCACCAAGAAAAAACAAGCACCAGCGTGGTTCATTTTCTTTTCATGGTGGGATGCAGGTATTGAGTCATTGTGCAAATATTTCTCCTTTGAGGAAACCTTGTCCTGTGCTTGATTAGAGCCACTCACCATTTGACTACTATGTTCATCTTGTTAATACATATCTTTCATCTCATTTGTTTAACTGTGTATCCAGCACAGACACTGACTGATACACTGCGCAAAGAGCTTGGCAAAGATGACCTTACATTAAATGCAAAGGTTTTGGCACTAGCTTACAGTCATGATGGAAGTTCCTCTTCGGAAAACTGGTCAATTACTTGTACTTCTAACAAAAAAATACAAGATGTTGATGCAGTAATTATGACGGTTAGTATGGTTTCACTTTTTCTGTTTTGTTCTTTTCCCGAATACTGCAAATTATGTATAAAAATGTTAATATTGTACATGTTCAGATCCAAATAAATTAAAAAGACCCAACACAACAAAAACCCTGCATTATTCTGCTTTATTTTTTCATGAAGGCCGTTATGATTTGTTGACTTGGTTTTCAAGTTTTATTTCCATGCAGAGTGATACTCTCGTCTTGCATTGCTAATTTCTAATGCTGATAGCTTTTGATGTTTTATTTTATTTTATGACACAGGCTCCTCTAGGTAATGTCAAAGACATCCAGATAAAAAAAAAGGGAATCCCCTTTTCACTTAATTTTCTTCCCGAGGTATACAATTTTCAGCCCGACCTTGATTTCAATTGATTTGACTACATTTATGAGATTAAATCTCATGCTCGTCTTATACAATTACTAATTGGTAAGGATAATAAAAAAATGCTATAGCCCAGTTCTTGTTTTTTTAACAACAGAATCAACACCTATTGTAGGTGACCTATTTGCCAATCTCGGTCTTAATCACCACCTTTAAAAAAGAGAATGTAAAGAGACCTCTGGAGGGATTTGGAGTTCTCGTTCCTTCAAAAGAGCAACAAAATGGCTTTAAAACTCTCGGTAATGCTTCTATAAATCTATGGCTTAAGAAAACCAAAATAGACTGCTGACTTGTTTTGCACAACAGGTACACTTTTTTCCTCTATGATGTTTCCAGATCGAGCACCCAGTGATATGCATCTCTATACCACCTTCATAGGGGGAACTCGAAATCGGGAACTTGCTCAAGCTTCAACGTACCTATATTGTTACTCTGATTCTAATCATATTATGTGTCTAGAAATCAAACAAATAATTTAGTAAAATTCTACTGAAGTTGATTAAATATGAATGGTAATAGGCAGATTGGAGTGACAATAGACACTTCCAAAAACCATAGATGCCGTCACTCTCTTGTTTCCCTGGCTTTTCGTTATCACCTTATCGTTATTAATTTGCTCATTCACTCACTGCAGTGATGAACTTAAGAAAATCGTCACTTCTGACCTGAGAAAGCTGTTGGGAGCAGAGGGAGAGCCCACATTTGTCAAGTATGTCATCAATTTATTTTCAAAACTTTCTCTACTTTTACACTTCTCTAATGCTACTCATTTACAGCCATTTCTACTGGAGTAAAGGCTTTCCTCTATATGGTCATAACTACGGGTCAGTTCTTGAAGCAATTGACAAGATGGAAAAAGAGCTTCCTGGATTTTTCTATGCAGGTAAGTTCTTATGCAATGGTCCAACTAACTCTCTGTTATTGAGCATATATACAGACATTAATTAAATTATAAATATTTATGTTAGTAATGAATGATGAAATTTTGTAGGTAACCACAGAGGTGGAATTTCAGTTGGTAGAGCAATTGCCTCGGGGTGCAAAGCAGCTGATCTTGTAATTTCCTACCTCAACAATGCTTCAGACAAAGTGTCTGATAAATGATCATATAGATGTAGGAACTGCACGCTTTCTGTTTACTATGTCATAAAAGTACATCTAAAACAAAGTCTATTGGTGTTTCTTTTCTTTCAATTTTTGTAATATTAATTAAATTATTTTTCTATTTTGCTTCTCAAGTATTATAAAATTTAATATTTTATCCAACTATAGTAAAGGTCCTTTTTAATTTTTTAAAGAAGGTTTGTATTAGAGAAACTCACAATCATCTGTGCGAATTTCTTTTCCCATACTTATAGTCTGACTCATACCTCTAAAAACGCAAAATTGTCTTGAGATATTTTCGATGATGCATCTCCTGAGTGTGAAAGTGTGATAGGATCTATCCCTGAATATGAATAAGAAAAAAATATTAGTAACAAGTGTAAAAAAATAAGCGCTTTTAAAATTATTATTGGGTATGGAAATTACCGTCAGCAAAGTGTAGGAGTCTGTCATTTGGCTTGTCGTCTAAAGAAAACCTTCGCTTAGCTTGGAGTATAGGTATACTAAATAGGCGACCTCCTAGTTTCACTAGTGAATGGCTGACAAGTCGATGAAGTACTTAAGGTATGTCACATTGGCGTAGATTGCACTTTTGTTCACAAACATGATTGTGCCAATCAAGAATAGGAAGTAACACCTCAAAGTACTATTTCGGTGTTAGGTAACCTGTAGATCATTGTTGTCGGCATCATCAACCAACTTCAAGTTGTCTTCACATAGGTCTGCAAGTATGAAAATTTGACATGAGCACCTCTGGTGCTCTCACATTGCTTCAAAGCATCTATTGGGCCAACTCCCAAATAAATGATTGCCATCCCCCAGACTTCATCACATTTGATCTTGGAATGATCAAGTAACTTTCTGCTGATGGGAAGGTGTAGAAGACAAGTGTCGTCATCTAGTGTAATCATCATCTTGTCAATGGGGAAGTAGAAAGATGACATTTTTTTATGCCATCTTTGCCATGACTAACGGTCTTGCACCTGGAAGAACACATGCCGATAAGACCAAAGTATCAGATGACACTTTGAAACCAATGATTCCTAGGCTGATAAAACTTCAAAAATCTTTTAGTTGTGGCTCACAGACTTTGTTAAAAAAATATATTAGTCGTAGGGAGTTTGTTTAAAACATATCAATAACAACTGTTAACAACTGTTGAGGTAGGAAATTACAAGAAGGTGTCAGAGAAGACCGAAGTTTTGTATTCACAAGATTGTGGGGGTGATGGTTGTTTCACAAGATTGGAAAGCGAAAAATATATTAATAACAAATTTGTAAACTTTCAAATGTATTTTCTTTTAAAAGTTATTTTTTAAAATTTATTCACAAAATAATTTTTAAAAACTAAAAATTAAATATATTCAAACAAGCATTGAATTTAAATGTTTATATCCCCAAAGACCAAATTTAGAGTGTCTTACAAAGTCAAGTAGAAAAGTTAATTTTGGAT